CCAGGAACAGTTATTTAAAATAAAAATAAAGAAATATCTAGGGAGATGGTGATCCACGCTACAAGGTTCCCAAAAGAAACGACTGTGATGATGAAGTATTGTCAGATATGTACTGTAGGCGCACCTGTACTGCTGATTGGCATAGCACAGAAGAGCATGGACCATATAGCCAGTAGTAGAGTGCCCAGGTAGAGTACTGGAATAGTGTCACAAAATGAGTATATTAAATAAAGGAAAGAATAGTGAGGCAGAATAATATGAAATGAAAATATCAAAATCATGAAGGCCAAGATTGTGTAGTCAATGTCTCCCATTCCAAATAGAGAATTGGTTTAAATTGGCCAGACCAGATATTAGGACATATCAAGGCCAAGTTTTATCAGTAAAGAAAACTAGTTTGAAACACATAAAGTCAAAAAAAAATATTTATCTGTTTGAAAACGAAAGTATAATATCCGACAGTCCTTAAACATTATCAAAATACGATAAGTGCCATAACGAAGTAATCAATTAGAGCTTGCATAAAACAAACAAAATACTAAAGCAAAATTCAATTAATGAATAAAATTAATTGATGAAATGTCAAGTATACGTAACTATTCTACGAGAGTGAAGTAATAACATGTTTAAGGTTGCTCATAAAATGAATTTGGATTTGGTGTGCCGATCAGGATAAGATGGTAAATCACAAGTTTAGACCTCTGAAAGAAGTATTATTCGATAGCAATGCGGTCTGGAGCATCCTACTCTTGATGTAGAAGCACGGCAAATAAGTAAGCAATTGCAGACGCATCCAACATATTGTTTACCAGGAGGATCACCTTCAAAAGGCTAATCGTTAAAATATGATTAAATCAAAGTCATACAATTGCCTCTAAGCAATTGGGACATTTAATGACCGTATGTTTTTCTTTATTTGTCAGTGGCACAATATAATTGCAAACTTGGCAACTTATAGTAGGTTGTGAAGCAACGTGACCCAAATCCGGAGTAGATATGATTACATTGCTAGGTGGAGCAAGGGTGAAATAAAATTTCTTTAATTAAATATGGAGATATCCTTTTGCCTTGGTATGAGAGGGGTATTCCCATCCATCCCCGGTAAAAGTAACGAGCAGGAAAGTTCTAAAGACGCGGCTCTGTACCAACGCTGTAGACAACTTTTAAATCATACTTTTATGTGCATCAGTATTCTAAAAATTTAGATTTATGATTATATAGCTAATATATTTTTAAGTCATGGCATCTTCCTTGATTTCTCGCATGGACTCGTCAGCTGAGCCTGTAGTCTCTTGCTTTCAATATTATCATTTATTAGTTTCTTTTCGAACCTTATGAATATCTTATAGAATCGTCTGGTAAAGGGATAAGAAGGGAGTTAGTGGAGGCATTTCAACACTGGCTTCGTGTTCCTGAAGAAATTAAAGAGGAAATAGCAGTTATAACAGAAATGCTACACAACTCCAGCCTTATGTTTGTTGTGTAATTTACTTACCTTGCAAGAATTGACGATATTGAAGATAATTCTGATTTACGACGAGGAAAGCCATGTGCTCATCTTCTATATGGCATTTCAAACTCAATCAACAGCGCCAATTTGGTTTATTTCATAGCACTAAAAAAGGCACTTATGCTTAATCACCCGCTTTCTCCTCATATATTTGCTGGTATTTTGTGCAATGCTTTATTTTTTTGCAGAGCAGCTAATTTATTTGCACAGGGGGCAGGGCTTAGATATTTATTGGCGATCTGTCCTTAAATGTCCAAACGAAGATGAATACACATCGATGGTTATATTTAGTAAGTGATTTATGCATGCATTCTATTTGTCTTATTATAATTGCCACGCGTTTGAGTGATTTTCTGTCACTTCGATCCTAACGAAAAGTTGTCTTAGCTGCTCCGTTTCTTTGACCATTTAAATAGCAATATATGAAGAATTAAAAAGTAATACGAAAGCTTTTTTCGGCCCTTTAATTTGTATCGTAAGCCATTAAGTTGGTTTCTTGCTATATTTCTAAACAAAAATAAGTTTTTTCATGACATTTTCATAATCCGTTATGGCCCTCTACCAATTCTTCAAAGTTTATATACACTCTGAGCTGGGCTTCTAATCTTATTCGGC